GATAACAATAGGTAAACATTAGATGGCGCACTGACTAAAAATATATATACACATGAAATGTCTGAAAGACTGTAACGAAATATTTTTGTATCCTGAAAGATGATTGGTATACTCAGTTTGCGAATCGTTGTATAACGTATATATATAAATGAACAATGATAATTTCATTAAGCACATCGATAAGTTGTCACGGTGTGATATCCATCCATTCAGTGAAGTGATTCTCATTTATCTGGCAAAGCAGTTACGATCTGCATTATAGGTTATTCCAAATTTTCGCTAAGATTGCTTGTCAGAGTTAGATTTATATGGAAATATATATATATATATATATATATATAATATGTATAAATTGGCTGAGAAGATATTTTTGTGTACTTTCTTTCTACTTTACTCTCTCTCTTTTTCTTTATTTCTTCGGTGTCCATTATGTCAAATGTATGCAATAAGTATAGGAAGACGCCTAAGTAGCACGATTTCCATTACGTATACCAAACCTTTAGAGTCTGAAGTTAAGGCAATTGAAAGTTCGTCCAAAGTTTTCTTTCTTCTTATTTAACATAATTTGAATTTTTCTTGCATCCTTGCATTTAAATAATTAAAGAGACTCATAACCATGTCCGTAATTCCCAGCTTACCAAGATCCCTATTTGTCGATAAAGTTAAGTATAAAAACGCCTTTAATTACCAAATAGATGATTAGTTCTATCCGGTTAAAGCTTTTTTGTTTTTATTGTTGTTATGCAGCTGCTAAATAATCGTTTTTGTTGTTTGCAATAACAAAAAAAAAAAATGTGTAAATCAATGCATTTAATTAGAAACTACGCAGTCGTATTGACTGATAAATTAGGCCTCGTTGCAAGCCTCGTTTGACACGAAAGCCACGCCAGTCATCATGCCATCATCATCATCACCATTATGGTTTAAGACGTTCACTATTAATGCACTGAAATAACGGCTGGTCCACAGCTAAAGTCTCTGTTTTTTCGTACACATACTTTGTATCTGGAATATAAGAAATTATTCCGCATTTGTTATTGTTGGATGACTGGAAAAGGTGAGGCTCAACTACGCGATTTATCTAGCATGCATTACAATCTATACAAAACACATACGTACACGTACTTATATATGCATATGGACACAAACACACAAAAACACATACATATACTTACGCCCTCTCTCTCTCCCTCAACAATAATTGAAAAGAAATCTATTGACCGCGAATCCACACTCAGTTACGAACTCATGCATCTAATCTCTGATATTGGCCACGATGAATGATATAAAGTTAAACTCAAGCTACCCAAATGCACGCAAAATTACTGACACGAAAAACATTTTTTTAATTTTTGTTTGATTATAACCAAAAGTGTTATATATATATATATATATATATATATATATATGTAGGTGTTAGTAAATTTTTTTTTCACTTACTCACTATAAAGTTATTCATAGATGTTTGCTGTATGCTATTGGTACGGAAAAATAAGAATAAAAGAAGATGTTCGACCTAAATGCGTCCCTTTAAAATTTGAACAATTAAGGACATTGACTGCATAAGAATCTTTTCTTTATTTATTATTATTCTGTTATGAAGGTTACCTACTTTCGATATTATTGAGCTGACAAAAAGGGCTCGTGATTTTCCTTTTGTCGCTGGCTTCTCCGTATCAAAACTTCTAGCTCTTACTTGCTTGTAAGAAGCGATATGTGGGATACCAACAACCAACATTACTCTGAAATTTTTCTCTAACGGACACATTCTTAGAAACATAAATGCTCAAAGAAATATTAACCTTATCAGCTAAAAAATTCGAGATTAATCTATGCTTTGTAATTGCGAATCAAAGCAAAGAAAGGCCTGAGGACAAGCATGAAGTTTTCTATTTACATAGAAAACTCTTATCCTATCCATTCATCATCGCCTGGAATACAAAGAGTCAGGCGCACAGATGAAGAATTCTCTGAACGCAGCATGACGTGGAAAGAAGATAATCCCAATCAGTGCTGTGTTATTAGCCTTGCTCTTTCAAATTTTTCAACGTCGACCTTCGTCGTGCATACGACATTCGTCTGAAATCATCACTGTAGGGAGTAGGGATGTCGCCTGCGTATGCCTTTATTTCAAAGGACGCGATGGAAAAAATTGACGCGTTTCCTCCATGACTTCTAAACCCCCAACAACGCTACTAGTAGGTTAAGCATCTCCAGAGATATGGAAAGCGTACTTCTCAAGCCGCAGAGCGTTCTCCGCACTCTCATTTATGCCTTGTCATAGGTAGAACGCTTTATGTTCTCGTAAGTTAAAACGGGAAAGATAACGCGAAAAGTTTCCATATCGAGTCGAAACTTGATTTAGGAAAAAGTTTACACCTCCCTGTTTTCTTCCCACACGCTGCGTTTCGAATCCCATTCCCACCGTTGATGCCTCTGTTAACACATTTTGTCGGATAGATGTTTTAAATTTCCGAACAACATGGCTCTTCCATGCAAATGGCAACAGACTTAGCTCCGTAGTATATGATGAATGTGATAGTGTGCAACTTAATCGAAAGAAATATTTGTTCTATACCCTAAATATATATCGTATTTGTTATCTTTCGATTTCCACAAGTTTGAATCAACTTAGTTCTGCTTACCTACATGTCCTTACTCATCCTTACGACTCACAATTCCAAAGTCTAAACGGAGGATAGTAAGCTTTCAGTTCGCTGTTCATTTTTTTTTTCAACAATTCCGTTCTTATCAGACGTCTATCACAAAACGCAACATAACGTATTTCATTTCCCATTATGCTTTCAATCACAACAACAATATAATACTTTAACTCACCCAATGGGCGTTGAAGAAATATAAAAGCTTCTCGAAAATATACAAAATCTGACTGAGGAGCGTCCGGTGGATTTTCTAACTGAGCTGATAATGTCTTTATGACCTTTAATGTCCTATTGCGAAAAAACGTTATCGAGTATTTTGGTTCGAAGTCGATCGAGCTAATCATGCGAACGAATGACGGCATACGTCGTAAACTCAGTTTACATTTTCCAACAAAAAATATTTATGTTATGTTGGTTCGAGGAAAAACTCTAGCAAACGAATCGCCCCATCGTCACAGAAATAAATTCTAAAACTAAACTCTTAAAAGCACTAGCATGTAAGGCTATCCGCTTTTATTAAAAACTCTACCGCACTTGAGACTCGAACTCACGACCATTGACTTGCTAGTCGAGATTCCTCGCCTCAGGCGGATAATCTTAATGTTAATGCTTCAATAAAGTTATGAAAAAGAGAAAAGAGTAAGACCGTACAGTTGATTTCGCCTCTTAGGAACGACGCCCTTTGGATGTTTCATAAACCATGTCAAGTGTAACAACCTACAATCTTGCTTAAGCTCACAGTTTCACAAAGCAGTTACCGAACAGTGAAAAACTGAAAAGCTCGAGATATTCTCCTAGATATCACGTTGTGGATATCGCAATGTACTTTGACCAAAAGCATAGTAATAATTATAGTTAGCTCTCAGCAATTACTTTTTATTTACTGAAGAAATGTCGAACTGACATTAAGTTCGTCGAAATTTTTAGATAGGTTTTCATTTGTGAGATGTTAACTTTTCTAGGGCTTGTGGATGTCGACGTAAATTTTAGCCGAAGAAGAGGGACCAGATTTCTCGCACAGGGTATCGATATTTTTGAACGATCAACCGATCTTATACTCCCACGACTTTGCTTGAGACACACTACCGACTGACCTTTTAAAGTCGCGGATGTTGCTAAGCGTCGTAGATTTCACGCTTTTGTCAATGATTTTCGGCTAAAAGTTTCGGTATAGTTATGAATCTTTAGATAGATCGAAAATAATGAATAGATTTTAAGTTCGCTTATATTTTCACGTATTTTAGATTCAATACTTTTGCGATTGTTTTCAATTACCATATGGCACAAAAACAATTTTGCTCACTACTTCTTGTCATAGGTTGGTTAACCTTTTACAGAATGCCTTCAAGTTCACATTTCGAAAAGACGAGGTTTGATCACTTCGCCAGTTTTCTAGTAACAAAATCTTGATTGAACATTTGTTTACCTGGTAGAGTAGTGAGCCGCTACCTTTGAATTACAAATATTTTTGAAAATAACAGAGTTCTTTTATGTTTTCTTGAACCCTAAACCTTCTAGACCTTTTCAACAACAATTTATTATTGCATAGTGGAAAACAATTATCGAGCAGCACTCAAATTTCAGGGTATATTCGAATAGCACTCACTTCGCTTCCTTTGGGAAAGAATTGATTTATAAAATTCATCTCTACTTCCGTCAATATTAACTTGTGTGTACAGAAGAGGCTCATAGACATGTTAACGCATCTTGAGCTTCTTGTTGAAGCCCTTTCTAAAAAAGATCAACTTGACATATATGTAGTGACGTTGTGTTAATTTTTCCGTTGTAGCACCTCGAGAGAGAGCAGTTGATGTTACGATAGATATTCTCTCGTAAGCGAAGTCATATGTGCCTCCCCCACTCAATCTCACAACTTACCTTCCTTCTCACTTATAAATGAAATGCATGCTATACTCGTCAAGTGCTAATGCACTTAACGGTACATTGATCTCGTACATCAATCGACCCTGCACAGGAGCGGTATCATAAGTAATAATAAAATTTTTTTTTTTTTTCTTTTAATTATGAAAACGTGTTTTTATTAGAAAGAGAAAGAAAAACAACTTAATTTTTCTTCGCTCCTTTTTTTAATTCGTATTATCAAACATAAATTAAACACTTATCAAAAGAACAAGGTGACCACAAATTAGTCTTTTTATAGTCGGGGTTAATTAAGTGTATATGATATGTGGACAATTGCAACTACTTATAAAGTATTGACAAGTATATTAGTGACAAGATGACAATGCACGCGTAAATGATCCGACAAATATGCGAAATATTAACTTGATTCCAATAATAATTATCATCTAAAATTTATGCTAAATTCATTCATAGGAGAGAGTTAAAAATTATATAGAAATTTATACTAATCGTCATATGACTCGAGTCACATATTATAATATGAAGTCAATAAAAACAAATTAATTATGAGTTATGTAATAATAGGGGAAAAATAAAGAGAAAGAAAACCAAGTTCTCTATGCTTTTTATGAGAAGAGATGATGACGAAGATGAAGAAGAGAAGAAAGAAATAATGGATAAAAAAAAAAAAGTGTCTACAAAAGAAAATTTACACAAGCGTAATAGAGAAATATCGGCTGAAATGAAAATCGCAATTGATTTAGTCAGTATCGCTAGGCAACGGCGAATAGGAGCCATTACTTTTGATCGGGCTTTGAGAGCGGCTGTTTGCCGGACTCGAAAGTTTCGACGTGGCCACGAAACGAATCGACAGATCCTCCGGTTCACTATCGAAATAACTATCGCTCGATACGTCGCTATTCATGAATGCATTTCCCTGATTGGTGGGCGAATCATATTGACGGGCAGTCTTGGTGAGCTCTTTGTACAGTATATTATCCTCGGGACGTTCCGAGTCATTTTTGCTAACGCCACCAACACTCAGTGAGGCATTAGGTTGAAGGGCAGCGGCTGCAGCTGCTAAAGCCAGGAAATTTAGGCTGGCATTGAAAATCTTACACCAATCTAATAAAGCAGAGTTGGTGTTCTCCGGATCGCTTGCATTGATAATATTTGGAATTTGTAGAAGACCCAAAGGTAACGGCGGAGGCGGAAAACCTAATGATTCTGTTGTCTCGAGCGCAACGCTATTTGATGGCGCATGTTTCTCGTTGACTGTATTATTATTAGAATCATTGTTAGAGGTGCGCTGCTTACCGTTATCGACAACACCACTACCACCGCCGTCAACTGATGAAATGCTGCTATTATCTGCAGGATCTCTTGCCCAATTTTTCACAGTTAATGAAGCCATATTGTTGTTGTTGTTGTTGTTGCTGATGCCGCCATTGCTGCTATTACTTATATTATTATTTTTAATGTTATCCTTTGCAAGATCGTTTGCTATTGTGTTTACCGAGCTGCATGCTGCTGTTTTATCTTTTGGGTCATCAATTATACCGTTACCTGTAGCAAAATTTGGCATAGCGTTGGATAAGCCGGGATTTAGTAAAGACAACAAATTCAAATTCTGTATCATAGATAGTTGAGCATAATCGCTGCCCAACGGCATAGAACCCAAAATGCCTGCTGACAGCTGATTAGGTAGAGCACCAATAACAGCGGTTTTCTTTTGACTGCCATTATCATTAGGTAAAACATGCTTTTTCATAATTTCGTTGAAGGCTATTTTCTCTAGGATGGCATTGTTGCCATTTGCCGTATAATTGCGTCCGTTTAACGGCAAGCGGCTGTAGGCAAACTCATCAAAACCAGGCGCACTAGGAAACTTTGGCGTTTGGATGTGATTTTCGAAACGTGGACGTTTTTCGGGAGGCGTTTCCATGCCAGACATGGGACCCATTTGATCGGCACCGCCTAATTGGCGGCACATGAAAAGCAACTTTTGCTCGTTTTTACACCAACCTCGCAGTGTTGACTCCGGTACTCCTATGTCACGGGAGACCGAAGCCTTTGTTTCACCATTGTGTATGCGTTGTATAGCGCGAACTTTATCACCAGGTGTTAAATTCCTCAGCGGGCGTTTTCCTCGCGTACTCATACGTATATTCATATGCTGATACGACGATATATCCATTTTCTGTTAATGACAGCGCTGAGAAAATTAATGCTTGACAGTAAGAAGTTCTTGCACTGAAATCAGAATTAAATGAAGGGAAAAAAAACAATTGTCATGAATTTCTCGAATCATCGAAAGGATGTTTTTGCTTTGTTTTTTTTTTTTTGTTTTCATTTGTTTTTCGTATTTGTTATCTCATTTTTCATTAGGAAGGATGCCCACCTATAAAGATAACCAGCCGGCGTCCCAAATTTTTTATAGAGCACCAATTACTAGCGACGTTCCTCCACAAATATTTTATTTCAATTGTTTTTTTCCTTAACTACACAACGAAATTGACGTTCACGAAAAATTTCCTCAATATTTGATTTGTTTCAATTATGCTTCTATTCACGACATTAACGCGCCGATTAAGTAAGCGTTGAAATATGTAATGCAAAGTGTTTTTCCGAGTCAGTTGTCGCGATATTAAAATATATTGAAGCGAAATTCATTACTATTCCTTTTTATTGTTGTCCTCTTGTTGTTCACTCCTCGGATTAACAAAAGGATATGATTTTGATTACGCGAACACCGCTGCCTTCAAGCCGATTGTTGAAACGCTGCTGCTCGGTTCAGCGTTTTTTTTTAACCAACGTCGACATCACCGTGTCACAGAACATCCGCCGTCCAACCCTACACGCATCCATATGTAAACAAAACATATTCGAGAGCGAATCATACCAAAAGCATATACATATTCGCACGTTTCCTGACACCAGTTGTTCGAAGAGAGTGAGTATAGTCAGCCAGCCACAAAAACAACGCAATGTGGAATAACAACTTGTTACTCATCTTAGCAAAAATTCATCAGCACGGGATAGTAACAACAATACTTAGGCACTACCACCACATCGACCATCGCTGTGCCGCTATGTTGGTTGGCGCGCGGCTCGAATGCGCAAACGCAAAAAAACTTATGAGCCGTCAAAAAATACGAATCAAAGCTCAAAGGATAAATGCGAAAGGCGCTATTTGCATCATACAATCCGCTAGTCTAGTTGGCCTACAGTTTGAGAGTGATTCGGCAAATAAAGATTGATATGATTTAAGAGCAACGTCCGTGCGCAAACATGTTCGAATAAGAATTCCAAGTTTGATGTATACTGCACATTTTTTCTTTCGACTTCAAACTACAAAAATTCTTATAATTCAATGATATGCTTACTCTTTAATGCCTGCCTAAAAACGCAAAGAAAACTCTCTTTTGCTCTCTGCTAAGTCTCTTATTATAGCGAATTCGTGTTAAGTGGAAATGGTATGACGCGAGCTTAAAGATTTTCTCCTAATTCCGGTACAAGTTCCTTAGAAATAATATTCTCTCATATGCAAAAATTCATATATATATGTATATATATATATATATATATATATGCTATAAATATGTAAGAGCAGCTTGAAATACTCTCCCGTGTTTACTTAAATAAACATTTCCTTTCGTATTGGCATTAAGGCCTTTTTCTCTTCTTTCCCCGAAACATTATCTGCATAATTTCAAAAAAAAAAAAAAGAAATAAGAAATAGAAAATAGAAAATAGAAAAAACATGAAAAATCATCAATTGCCAACCCAGAAAAAAAAAACACAAAAACCTGAAGAAACAAAGCCTCCAGTTTGTTGAAATTCTTTTCAGCTAGAGCTCGGCTAAACAACTGATCGATATCTCTTTGGCAAGGATTATCCAAATAGAAAAGGACCTTTGCCAACTCACGCGATAACCATTTTTGTGAAACAAATTTTAGAGAAGCGAGAGATTAAAATAAAATAATGATTTGGTTGACTAATCCATAAGCAAACCGTGCGTTCAACATGCAATAACTTATATATGAATATTATAATTCCTTTCAATAGTTTTCCTTGCTTTGTAAATTTCACATCAGGAAATGGAACAAAAAAAACAAGTAAACCAATATTCGCCTTAACACGAATTTTACATACCTCGTCACATCGAAATGCTTTTTCTTTCAATTGCCTAATTAGATTTATCATGATATTTTAGAACGTGACGAATCAATGTCCTTCGCGATGCTGGTAAAACTTGAGTGCGTTTCATGTTAAATTATTTATTATATTTAGCATAAGAGGGAGCCAATGGAGTAGAACTTTCAGTATCAATTTTTACATCATTTTAATTCGGACTTGGTTCAAATATCAGATCATAGATACCATCTACGTATTGGCTTCTATTAAGGCTGTCGAAGTTTTTTGACTCTTTCGTGGGACTATAATAAATGCTCGACCCAAAATATCATAGCAAGGTGTAATGACCCTAACACTGTCTGGCCATGCTAATAGGCCTGCCTTCCCCTTCAGTTTCATATGTTTATTTGCTACACATACACGATTCAGTTACAGTTTATCTTTAGGTTCAGCTAAATTTAGACTATGCATTAATGTTAAGGGCATAATCTAGTTAAGATTGCAGATAAAAGAAAAAGGATCTTATAACTATACAATTAACGAGTAAGTGTAAGAAATATTAGATCTAATAATGTTGGTCGGCACACTACGCAGCGCATCCATAACCGAATCAAACGACTGAAATTATGCAATGGCAAAGATAAACTAGTCGATTTAGTTAAATACGACATTCGTAATACGGGGACATTAAGAAGAAAAGCTTTAGTGGAACATATAGACTACGTTAAAGAGATTTATAATATAAACACCATTTAAATTTTTACTCAGGACTCTAAGTGACGTATAAAATTCATAGTTGAATTTGCACTGTCCAAAATCTTATAAATATATAATTCGCGGACAGACATATGGGAACATTGAAGTCAATCTCATTTAGCAAAACCGGTGAGTCAATAATACCTACCTTCAACAACTTAACCAAGAAGGCAATGCCTACACCAAACCTATACTTATGGAGTGAAGGCAGGGATGTAAGTGAAAGTGATCGAAATGGGTCAACATGACAAAGATAAAAAGGATAATTCTATTAAGTATACAACTCCTACTATTCTAACAAATCTTGGAATCAAATCAAATATCAGTCGTACTTCGGGATTGTACCGATTGTTGTCGCTGTGTGTCGGGTTTTCAGAGAAAATTATGTGTTTTTTTCTCACAATTGCTACGACCTGATGTCAAATTGGATTTATCGGAGCAGTGGTCTCTTATATCAATTTTATTATAAAACCAAGCAGTTAAGTCTCGTTAAACTATTTTATGACTTGGAACACCTCGGTGATTTCGTTCAGAATACGACTATATATGTATGAAACTTGAAAAGAATAGCTCTAATAAGCATTCGAATGCTTGGCCTTTGAAATATTTGGATTGGGGGACAAATAAACAGATCATGTGTGTACACAAAAATTGTGCACATTTCCAGTAAGCTCCAAGAAATCAAGATTTACATTTATATGGTAAATATGGAATCAGGTTAAATTTATTTGAAAAAATTACTATTAATATGCGAAGACTCTTAAATCTGAAGAGACCCGCGCTAAAAAAACCTGAAATTTTGAAAAAAATTTTATTTTACTTCTAGACTGCCATGCCTGCCACTTCTTCCATGAATGTGGCCGGACTGTGTTCAAAATCTTTTTACTTCAATTAAATCAATGGCTTTACGCGTTCATCAACGTTTTACCGTGCGCTCGAATTACACGTCACACGTTTCTGCACCCAAGTTTAGTAAATTGTCGGGTCCAATTAAATATTTTACTCACGGTCCGTATTTATCGTGAATATTCGGATGATGATTAAAAAAAATGGCAAAATCCTGAAAAGGAAAAAGCCACACGAGATTAACCCTTTAAGCCCATTCCAAAACCAGATCAATTGATTTGAATCAAAAATTGGCAGAACTTTGTCATTGGCCTTAAGTATGTAAAGCAATTTCTGCGAGCTAACAACTTTCAGCAATAAATGGATAAATAGATAAACCGAACCAAAATGTCATATTTGTATACCTATATATATAAGAGTATATATATACCTATATATATAAGAGTGTACACTACATATAGGCACACTACGTGAAGTAAAGAGTGCAGGTTTCGCATATTCCTTAAGAGAAAGTAAAGGAGAGGAAATTAATTCCCTTTGGATCAGGAAACTGATTAAAGTTTTCTTTCTTCGGATTCTCATGCAGCTTTAAGGACACACTTTTGCCTCCGTCTGCTATCGGCTATATACTTTTTGGGCAGATTTTACTCATTTCTTGAGGTATTCTACGTTTTCTTAAACAAGATAAGAGAGCAGCGAAATAACGCTAATTATCCCAATGTCAATAAAGAAGAAAATCGTTTATAATCGTTTCATATAGAATTTCGCAATAATTTTCTCAGTTTTCCTAGTCTTTTCACTTACTTTACTTGCTAAACAAAAATAAATGCTCAACGCATAAGGATACTATAAAATGAAATTTCAATCAGAATTGCTTTTTCAAAACCTAAACTCACCTAATAATACTCACTTTAGTCAAAGTATCGGATAACAAAGCATTTTTATAGGAAGACATAAGTCAACAACAAGCACAGAAGCAGGCAGTCAATACTCCCGCTTAAAATACGATGAAGAACGATTTCCGTTTGAAATTCGCGGAAAAAATAAAAAAGAAGAAGAACGTAAAGGTTTTACCGGTAAATCAACAAAGGACAACAACTGAACAAATAAACCTCAATAAATAACTCATTCGTTCTCAATGAATGTGCTCCACAAAATCTTGACTTGACTTGATCGACGACGACATGACCAAAAACAAAAGATGAATAACATTTTTCCTCTTTTTGTCTGTTTTTCTTTCCCGCAGGTTTTATGGCCGTTAGTGATAGTAAAACCATTAAGAAATGCAAAAAAAAAAAAAAAAAACCGAGAAAAAAACAGAGTCAGTACGCATAGTTAGGAACACACATCGATTTAACAGGAGTGTCATAAAAATGAATTTAGCGGGCAACAAGCGCAGGTACAACATAAACAAGATGCCTTGATGAGGAGTTTTTTTTTTTGGATTTACGCTTCCAAGAATGAAGTGCTTGATGCAAATCCCAACTCAGCATGACGACAAGAATTTCCTTTTTATTTTATTTTTCCATTTGTATTTTCATTTCATACAAATTTAATGCATAATCCGGCAAGGCACACGTGAAACCATGCGTGGGATTTGTTAAAAGAGAAACGAGCAAATTTCATGCACATTGGTGTACCCATCAATACTCGTCCATTAATTCTGTCATTCCATTAAGTATTTACAGAAAACATATGAAAAGCGTTTGCTGTCTATCTATCGCAAAATGTGTTTCTGAATATTACCCATCTGTCGATCAGTCAATTTCAAAAATTAAGAAAAATGTTACATAAGGAAGCAGTATACGATTTTCTTATGGATGGGTGTTCAAAATTCGTACAAAACCTTTTGGGTTTCTTTTTTGGCTCTTTTCTAAATGACCTCTATTAAACAATTAGGGATTACTTTAAATTACTTCTCAAACATATTTTATGAATAATAAGACGTTGGTCCGTTAAACAAGTATCTATCTATTCCTTTACCTGTGCGTTTTACCTATTAAATTTTAATTTACAACAAATCAAAATTTAGCATAAGCAACTCAATCTAATTATTGCACGAAAGTAACGAAGACTTCTTTATATATTGTTATTAATGTTA